GTATATATGAGACAGAGAGGCCTTCTGTTTCTGAAGACTCCTGCTTAGGTACATCACATGAACAGACAGACCCCTTCTTTACCAATCTTGTAAATTCTATGGATATCACCCCCTATTTCTCAAATGACTGTTATTCCTCCCAAATTGATCATCCCTGGTATAGGGTGATAGTTTAAAAATTCTGCACTCAGTCATATATCATACACACAATCATCATCATCATCATCATACAGTCGGGCATGGTGGTGACTCACACCTAGTCTGGAGGCAGAAGCTGGAGGATCACCCCAATTTTGAGGTCAGCCTGGTCTACATAGTAAGTTGTAAGCCAGCCAAGGCTACACAGTGGGACCTTGCTCAATCAAACCAAGCCAAACCAAACCAAACCAAACCAAACCAACCCAACCCAACCCACAAACATTCTAAAAGAAATAGAGGGCTGGTGAGGTAGCCTCTATACAAGTGTGTGAGTGTGCATGCATATGTGAGTACACAGACACAGGCAGACACACACACTAAATAAACACAATAAAAAATTCAAAAAGGAATGTTAGTTGGATGTTGAAATGGAGTCCACATGTAAAGGATGATAGAAAAGGACAGAAGATAATGATCTTATGTGTGTAAACTCATACATGTAGGAATACATACACAAAGAGAAACGAAAAGGTATTCACTCAAAGTGTTAAAACAAGACATCGCTGGGCGTGGTGGCACATGCCTTTAATCCCAGCACTTGGGAGGCAGAGACAGGTGGATCTCTGTGAGTTCAAGGCCAGCCTGGTCTACATAGTGAGTTCCAGGACAGCTGGGGCTATAGGGAGATCCTGTCTCAAAAAGACCAAAAAACAAAACAAAACAAAACAAAACAAAAACAAAAACAAAAAACCAAGCAAGATCTTGTTGAAAGTGAACTGTGAAAGGCCCTCACCTGCAAATGCTTGCTAAAGTGGGATGTGTATCAAACTGCCACTTGAGATGCACTTTTTTAACTCTTCTCTGTCCAAATACGAACTGATCTATGAACAAGGATATCTTTCTATGACAATACTTTTTGGAGCAATCTTGCTCTTCTGAATGTCTAAAGAAAGTACCATGGCTTCATTCTGTTTGGTGTAGTCAATTCTCCAATGATAAAGGTAGGCTTCCCATAATTTGGAGCCATCTCAAATGTTACAATAACCATTGTCACATAACAACCCTTGTGCTTATAAGCAAGTCTACCAAGTAGAATTTTTGGGTCAGAGAGAATGAACGAACCTTTTAAAACTTTGACAAAAAAATTTAAAAAAAATTTTTTTTGAGATAGAAGTCGCCTTGAACTCTTGATCCTACTGTCTCATCCTCCCAAATCCTGGGATGACAGACATGTGCCAGCCACATCCAGTTCAACTGACAACTTCTGCTAAATTATCTCCTACTCTGGCTGTACAAATTTATGTTCTCACTAGCAAGAGTTTCAGAACGCCCTTTTCCCAGGCCCTAACACCAGAAATTTGCAATCTTTTACATTTTTTACAGTCTTTTTAAAAAATTATTTTGAGACAGGGTCTCATGTAGCTTAGCCTGGCCTCAAATTCCTGATCTCCCGTCTCCACCTTCCAAATACTGGGATCACAGGCTTGTGCCACCATGTCTGGCTAGTTTTCAAACCTGTTAACATTTCCTTGGTCACTCATGGTGAAGGCCCTTTACTTCTGATTAG